TTACGAGACCACAACTTCTCGATCTACGTGAAAATAGACATGGATAGACGTGGCCTCCCAAAGATGTCTCTGCTGAGCGGGCGCTTGGGGAGGGTGAAACGTTGGACTCGCTAAAAACATAGCGACCATATGCATGGCGTATCCCAAAAGGAGCTGGCCAACGCCAAACGTCTTGAGCTTTTTTATCGAAGTTGAATTAATCTTAATCCCAATATCGTATGAAATTGCACTGCCATTGAATGAGGCTGAGCATGATAAGCGTGAATTAATCCTTTAAAATGCGCCACACATCCTAAACCCTTCCGTCTAGAATCGTAATTGCATTTGAGTGTGATATAGCCCATATAGGGCGGAAGTGGTGTAGTGGCAAGTGGCACGCTTACCACGCGAGCGGTCCGGGGATCAAATCCTGGGTCGTGAGTCGCCCGGGCCAACCAAGCCTTCCATCCCTCCGGGGTCGGTTAATTGGTACCAGACTTGTCTGGGAGGATAAAAACACTGACTTGTACATCGGCTGGCCCCCGCAAGTCATTGTATAGGCCACATCGCATTCAAACGCCACTACGAATGTACAAATGGAAGTAGAATGCGTGCCGCATCCCAAAAAGGGATTGATCAACGGCAAATGCTTTATCCTTTATCCTTTATGGCCTATACAAAGAATTGAATGGGTTACCAATGTACAAGTAAGGGTTTTTATGCTTCCAGACATGCCACGTGCCAATTGGATTATCCCGGTTAGACGGAAAGCTTGGTTAGCCTAACGTTCCCCAACCATCGGGCTCGGGAGTCTGCAGTTGCAAAGCTTGTTACCTTTACCCAGCACTTGGTCCGGAGATATGATCCGGGCTGACTCTATCACCCATGTCAATCAACACTCCACACCACTGACATGGCTGACACCCGTTCAGCCTCGGAGGAAGGGAAAACTGCTCCTTGTGATTTATTTCCTTGCCAAAGTACCCTTTCAAATATCACTGTTATGAATGGAAATAGTGTACATGGCGCGTCTCAGAAAATTGATTGATATGTCCCCATCCTTAACTTGCGCTCCATAGTACAAAAGTAATTCGTTTTGTCAGATCTCGTTGAATTAAGCGAGGAAATTTCTTCATCTCTCGATATGGAGAAAGAAAGAAAGAAATCGAACCTTCCTTCCTGCCGAACGTTCCTTGATCCACGTCATACCCAGGCTGTCCAACTCTTACTTCATGCCAGTGCTACTTCTCTTATTTTTTAAATTTTTATTTAATAATTTTTAATTATTTATTTGTCAATTTTTTGACTTCTTTTGTTTGTTAGCTGCTGTTTTTGGCCCCAGTTCGCCTTGCGAATGTTTTATATCAGTATATTATGTTTTATATTGATTTTTTATTATTTTCTGATATTTTCTTTTTCTACCTTTTTTTGTTTTTTTTTCGACTTTCCTGTTCTTATATGTTTGATACATAAAACTAGCAAGCACTCTCTTTCTTTTCCTCTCTTCTTTCGCTCCTTCTCTTCCTTTTTGCTGTTCATTCCCCTATTTTCGGTCTCATTTTTTAATTTACATGAGCGCATTCTATGACGTGAATCGTAGTGCTGCTGATCACGGCACTGTCTGGGGATCAGGTCCTGAGTCATACGCCTTCCGGGTTTCAAAAGGTTCTACACCTCCCAGGTTGGTCACCTGGTACTGAACTTGTATGAGAGAGCAAGGCAGACTTTCCATCGGCTGGTCAACGACGGTCATTGTGTGGGCTCGATCACGTTCCAAATACCACTACGATTTCTAACTGGAGTAGACTGCGTGGCGCATTCCGCAAAGTCTGATTTATGCATGTTCACGCCGCTTCTTTTTGGTTTCCTTTGAACTCGGCGATTTCTCCGCGTTTGAGTCTTCGACTTTTGATAACAGCTGTTGCTCGTTTTTCTTGCACATCCAATATATTTACCAATATTTTCCATCTCTATACATTTTCTGCGACCTATTAAGGTTCCCATCCACTGTCGATATCATTCTCTAACCGTCCTTAGCTTGAAATGAGCACCCTCACATTATTTTTCTGGCATTTCTTTCCAAGCGTGAGCCACGTGCCAGGGAAATCGGCTAGATCGACTAGCCAAATGGCTAACAATATTCCCCATCCCCCTCTTACGAGACCACAACTTCTCGATCTACGTGAAAATAGACATGGATAGACGTGGCCTCCCAAAGATGTCTCTGCTGAGCGGGCGCTTGGGGAGGGTGAAACGTTGGACTCGGGGGGGGGGGGTGCAGAGCGCCGATTGGAAACAATCCGATTACGAGACGGGAAACTGATTTATAACTAAGGAAACCGCATTGCAGCTCATCCGCTGGCCATATATGTGCAAGCGATGAGGGAAGAAAGTCATTCTTTCCCTCTAGCCCTTTCTTTCTTTCTTTCTTTTTCCATATC